AACAAGAGGTCAGAGGCCCTTCTTAAATCCACTTGTAAGGCCTGTAGCAGAACATCTAAGTGCGATGTCGACAAGTTCGATCTACGATGGAGAGGCAGTGCCTCGCGGTGTTGAGTTTTGGACTTCTTTTTTCTTTTCTTTATGAATTAGATACATTATTTGAATGTTTGAGAGATAGTTACTGTGGTTGGAATTTTTTTGGATGAAACTATCATCATGGGAATTTTGATTTGTTGTGTTTGATATACAGTCAAACCCCGCTATAGTGAACCTTCAAGGCACTTCACTATATCCGTTCCGCAAACAATTTTAACTAATTGTTCCAAACTCCCCCCTTTTATTACAAATTATTCAAATAAGTAACCAATAAAATGAAATACAAAAATGACATGAATTTTTTATTACTCTTCGTCTTGCGTGCAAAAAAAAATTAGTAATCTTTAGCTGATGAGCAATCCTCAACATCAGATATGGAAACACTTTCCGGCTCTTCGATAATTTTTCCTGAATTTATGTTATTCCACTTTTTTTGAACCTGTCTAACCAGCCATTTGAGCACGTAAAAGTAGTCTCATAAAATCGCTTAGCAAATTCATCGGCTTTGACTTGAAGCATTTGTACAGATACTGGAAGATAGTGGTTTCTTTGAATGCTGAACCAATTCAATAATGAAGCAAACAAGAAAAAATGCTTGTTGGAACATTCCATGCTATATATGGTTTTTAAAATCTGTATATACATAAATGTATTTATTTTGAAGTAGAAATTTCAAAACTATCAAGAAAAATCAAGAAAATCAGTCGAAGACAGAAAAAAGTTCATCATATCCAATTTCATGTCTTTTTTTGGTTCACTATATTCACAAAAAAATAACATTATACGTGTGTAGCAAAGCACGGGAGCGAATATTTTGTTCACTATATCCGGGAGTTCACTATAGTGGGGTTCGACTGTATAAATAAAGTCTTTAGTGTTTTAGAGTGTCTTGCTACAGTGAAACCTATGCAAGGTGATCACTTGCTGTCCATTGTTTTAGTGGTCAGCTTTTAAGGGGAGTGAGACCATCATGCCTTCAGTTGCGAAATTAGGGAGACTTAACCTCCTAAACCCTGGCCCACAACGTAGATGTTGCAGAAATGCTTTACTTTATTTTTTTCTCTTAATGCAAATGCAAACGAAAATAATTCTGTGGTAAAAAATTTATTATTTTCAACAATATATTCTTTTTTCCTTAAATGTTAAAGTATTGGGTGTAGTATTTTTTCGACATAAAAACTAATTTTCAAATTTGTTAGCAAATAATGTTATAGTCTCAAAAAATTTTTTTTTCTGTAGCTAAATATTTATATGTGAAATATTTAATCTCACGATAAGAAAGTAATATAATGGAAATAGTTTTCCATATCTACCTATTCTCTCGGATTTTCCGGAAAATTTTATTAATGCTCAAAGTGGTAGTAAACCTTATTGTTTTCTCTTTAATTCTTGGATTTAAAAGTTTACTTTCAAAGGATACCGATCAACACAAATAAATTAAATAGTCTTATTAATGCAGAAGAATACTTCAATTTGTTTAAGCGCTTACATTAAGTGAAAATAATTCTGCTTAAAATTTTTATTCAATTCTCATTTTACTCCAAATGGAAAACATCATCCTCAAAAAAAATGAAAGTTGGCAGTTAATAATAAAGATACAGTTCGTGTAAAAATATTAGTATTTGACAAACTGGTAACCGTGTAAAATAAAGTTTTTTTTTCTTCTTCTTTTTACGCTTTTCCCTATAAATATGAATGCGTAAGTAAAAAGAAATTATACTTAATGCTAATTGTTATTACTGTTGCAGTTGCTTCAGGAAAGAAATCTGCAATCCATTTTCATTAAAATAATTTTAAAAAAATTTCTTATTTAGTTTAAAAAAAGTAGAATAAAAAAAAGTTTTAGTTTTTCCCACAATCTAATATGCATTTACAAAAATATGTTTAACTAAATCGAAAAAATTAGAAGAGTACACTTTGAAAAATTGAAAAAACTTCTACTGGCCAATCTTTAAAGAATATTCGGAAACAATCCTTCTCCTGCCATTATTTCGAATCTCCTCTTAAAGTTATTATTAATTAACAAACCTCTTTACTTTACGAGGTCATGTTCCGTGACTTTTCTTACACCGTTTAATGAATGTGCTACGTTTTACTAATCCATTAAAATTAAAACTCTTATCGTTCTTTTATTCCTTAAACGTTTAATGAATTTACTGTGCTCTAAATACAATATATATTAGTTTAGCTAGTTATATAGTTATATATTAATACTATAATATTACTAATCAGTACTGGCAAAAATACTGATTTAAAATAAATGAATAAAAACTAAAGTTTTTAAAATCGTTATTATTTGTTGTTGCAAACATCTGATAAAATTTATTATTAATGCTTAATGCTATTTAAAAACAGTATTATAACTAAAAGGCTTAATATTTCTAACTAAAATGGTTGAAATCTTATAAGTATTATTAACTAATCACTGAAAAAAAAATTCATTTTTAATACATTCCTGCCCAATGCTTTCATTAATTCAAAACAGTATCAGTTAAATATTAAATGAAGAATAAATTAATTTAGATCAGGAGGCATAAAAAATTAATTATTCTGAATTACTCTTAGCTGAACGAGTCTTTCTTTGTTATTTATATACTACAAATACGTGTTTAGTAAATTTTAAAATAATTTGTATTTAAATATACATGAAAATCTCTTATTATTTTTCTGGATATAACTTTTCAGTATCCGTGAAATCAAGACTTTATGATCACAGCCTTTATTTTTAAATTATCCTAAATAAAAAATAAAATAATATTTTGACTTAAATCAATGATTTTTATTCCTAAAAAAGAGAATGATTTAAATCATGATTAAAATCAGCTGATTCCGATCTAATCGTATTAAAACATCCTATTGACAAACCTCTTTTTCTGTATATTTCGTGTCATTTCTTACGTGTTTAATGAATATTTTAACAAAATTCATGTACAAATGTGATTCATGCAAATACACTTTTTTATTCAATAAATTGTACTGGTGCTGACCGGTGTGTCCTGCACGCGATGTTTCTGCATGATCAGGTTGTAAATCTGCTGCTAGGAATGTAGTTGCATGGCCTTCGATGCCAAATTGCCATATTAAGTTGACCGCAAGCCTCCCAAATCAATGTCTGGCCACTTTCAAACTACGTTTACTGTTTTCCGACGAGCACGAGTTCACAATTTCACTTTTAACTTTTTTTTCATGAACTTTATTAAGATTGTTATATAAAGCATGAAATATTATTTGCTGCTTATTTTACATTACTTTTTCCATCTTTAGTTTTCAAAAAAATAAAATTTAGTGAAAGAAAACATTTCTTTCTCAAAAGTTTTTTCTTTTTTTGCAATCAAAATTTTTTTATCATTATTATTGTTATTTTTTTACTTTTTTAAAATATCACATTTGTCCTCCTTAATATTTTAAAAATAAACTGTTTTAAAAATAATCAATATACATTAATTTAATCATTATTTAATTGACTGAATATTTAATTAATATTCATTCAATAACGTACATTCGTATATATAATTTATAGCTAGTTGTCGAAAAATTAGTTGAAGGAAAGTTCAAAGCTCATTTGTTCAAGGATAAGACCAATTATTAAATACTAATTAATCTGAAACATTGCATAGTCCGGAAGTACAATACTGAAAAGGTTTACGAAGCATTATTTTTATATCATTAATCAATGTGTTAACTGAATAAAAAAATTTTTGTCAATATAATTTATTTTTATTTAATTATTTAAAATTAGGTGGGCATTGGAATTTCCTTAAAATGGGCTCATGTATGAGAATTTTAGGATAGAGATATACATTTCTGTGACACTGTTAATGACTAAAAATATGAATATAAAAATTAATAAATATATTTTTCAAAGGTGCTCCACTGTGCCTCGTTTTGCCATTTTTTAAATTTTTTTTTACTTCAGGTTACATTATGTTTAAACGAACATACTGAAAATATCTGGTTGTGAAATAGCTAAAAAAATAACTCTTTTAAAAAATATTTAAAAAATTAATTATAAGTATTTAGTTTAATGAAATTGTTGAGTGTGTTTTATAAAAATATATATTTGCGTTTATGATTTCATCTTTATTTTCGCTAAATTTTAAATTCATATCCTGTTCGTGTACATAAATTATTAGTGCATATTTTAATCCCGTTGATTCGTTTCTATTTCTGTTTGGGTTTTTTTCTCTCCTCTCTACTGTTAATATTAAATTTAAATTCGTATCCTGATATATTATTATTAATTTTAGGTGCCTCAGCCCATTAAGTAGGGTTTCTAAACAGGTTGATTTTTTGCAAATATTAAAATAAAAATGAATCTAAAATAAATAAATAAATGTATATTTTTCAAGAATGGTCTACATGCCACGTTTTTTTCCCCCTTTTTATTTATGTAAGTTTACATAATATTATGTTGAACAAACATTCTGAAAATATCAAGTTGTGTGAGTGCAAGAGAAAATAATATTAACTTTTAAAGTAAATATTTCAAAAAAAATATCTATTCTTATTTTTTGTCAATTTTTCAGTTCATTAACATCCGTTCATAAATTATTATCGAAAATTCTAATCCAGTCCATTTCGTCTCCATTTCTGCATCAAGTTATTTTTAATAATATTAAGTTAGAATTTGTACCCTAATTTATCATTAACATTTTTATCTGCTTCAGCGCATTTAATAGGGTTTCTAAATTAACATTTTCATTAAATTATCGGCACCATTCTTTTGAAAGGTCAAGCTATAGATCCGACCTCCCAAGTGTGTGTGTGACTAATATCCCGTTGATAGTCCTATTCCCCCTGCCCACGATATTTGATTAAAAAGTTCATTTCGCGTGGGCGGCTGGAAATAGTCCTTCGACGCCTACCTATTTCTAGCGTTATTAACTGCTGTTGCCTTGAAAACCCTCTTCACCGCGCAAAGGATTGTCTTGCGTGTGAAGGAAGTGCGAGTGGACTTCGGACAGCGGCTACGGTTCATTGATCCCTGAATGTTAATCATTGTATCTAAATGAGACGTCTATCTAAAGGTATGTGGATAGTTTGCATACCGTCCTTATTTACTCCAGGCTAATTTTGTGTGATGATTTAAGGCAAACTTCAAAGGTTCCTTTACTTGTCTCGCTTTGAAGAAGTGGTTTAAACTTTCGGTCACCCGTTGATGTCCATAAAGCAATTTTTATTTAGTAATATTAGGTATTAATAATACAAGGTAGAAAATAAGTAATTTTTTTTTAATGGCCATAAAGCAATTTTTCAACAATTTTTGTTTATTAATATTAGGTGTTATGAAAACAAGTTGATAATTACTAAACCAGAAATTTGTATTCTGGCCGTAGAGCAATTTTTAACAATTATTGTTTATTGATATTAGGTGTCATGAAAATAAGCAGATAATTACTAAACCAAAGCTTTCTTTTTTTCTCTTTTTTGGTGGTCATAAAGCAATTTTTATTTATTAATATTCGAAGCCATAAAATCAAGGTAGAAAATTATTAAAGTAGAAATTTCTTCCTTTTTTTTGATGTCCGTAAAGCAATTTTTCTACAATTTTTGTTTATTAATATTAGGTGCTATAAAAACAAGTAGATAATTACTAAATTAAAAATTTCTTTTCTTTTCTAGCCATAGAGCAATTTTTCAACAATTTTTGTTTATTGATATTAGGTGTCATTAAATCAAGGTAGAAAATTACTAAAGTAGAATTTTTTTTAAATGGCTATAAAGCAATTTTTCAACAATTTATGCTAATTAATATTAGTTGTTATGAAAAGAAGTAGATATTTACTAAACGAAAGATTTCTTTTCTTTTGTAGCCATAGAGCAATTTTTCAACAATTTTTGTTTAATGATATTTGGTGTCATGAAAACTAGTAGATAATTACTAAACCAGAATTTTCTTCTGTTTTTTCTTCTGTTTTTTTGTGGCCATAAAGAAAATTTTCTTTATTAATATTAGGTGGCATGAAGTCAAAGTAGAAAATTACTAAAATAGAATTTTTTTTAATGGTTATAAAGCAATTTTCCAACAATTTATGCTAATGAATATTAGTTATGCAAACAAGTAGATAATTACTAAGCCAGACATTTCTTTCCTTTCGTGGCCGCAGAGCAATTTTTCAACAATTTTTGTTCATTGATATTAGGCGTCATAAAAACAAGTAGAAAATTATTAACTCGAATGTTTTTTTGTTTAAAAGAAAATTAAAAAAAAAAAAACATATGTAGCGCAATATGCAACGTTGATTGTAAAATTTTTGTAAGATTTAAATAAAATGTACTCGTATTTATAAAATACTTATTTACCTCACCTCCGGTAACCAGTTGGTCCACTTTTTTAACTAAGAATTTCAAGTTTTTTGTGAGATTTAAAATCGTATTCTCGAAAATCAAGACATGTAAGTATAATCAACTCAGATTCCTCATCTGAGAGTGGATTTAACTTTTGTCTCTTATATGTTATCTCTTATATGGCATCGTGACTATCGGGGGTGAGTTTTTTATTAAAATGTTTAGTACAACGTATGCTACTTCTTTGATGCATAATAAATCAACCTAGCAACTTTATCAAAACCTAACTGTGTACTTATTTGCTACTATTAATTACGCGCCAATGAATTTCATTTGCAAGGATTTTTTCTCCAAAGCGAAACTAACTTTAATTATTATAAATCTCTTTAATTGAAGGAATACACAGATCTAAAACAACAAACAACACATTTTAAAGCGAAGAATAAACTTGGACCATGTGTTGGCGACTGCTTTTTCTAGTTGCCACCCACACAAACATTGACGCCCATGACTAATGAGAACAAATTTTAATATATGGATGCACTGTCAAAAATTTGTGCTATATTTGCCTAGTTAATCTAATTTCTACATTGGTGTCAGTATTTTGTTACCCATTTAAATTTTAAAATTTTGGAAAAGCGAATCGGTTTCACAGAAATTCCATCTATTAAATGCAACTTTCTTCATAAGTGATGAAAATAAAAAGATAAAACATAATTTTAAAAGAAAATCCAAAAATTTGAGCGATAGACGTCTAAAAAATTTGTTATAGTGAGACAACTTCTTCGTTGTATGGTGAGTATCTTGACTATTGTCTAACGTTCCGATTAAAAATTTCACTATAGGATGGAGTGCGCAATAAGGAAACTTCGTTGTAGGGGAATCGTTGATAAACTGATAAATACTTAATAATTCACTTAACAAAATATGTACTTTTACAATAATCTTTTCCAATGTAGTTTTTTACTGTAGTATGTTAAAAAAAAATTTTTTTTTTAAAGATTTTGTATTTGGTGAACTATTGTTTATCGTGAACTTATTGCTGGTTTCACTATAGCGGGGTTTAATTGCATATGCTGCATCAAAACGTATAGCCTATGTTTTTAAACTATTTTCTTTTTAACTTTCAAGTTATACAATAATTTATCTTGAGCAGGCTCCTTAAATTTTTTTAATCCGATTTGTAAAAAAAAGAAAAGAAAAAATGCCGCTGCAGGTTTTTAAACCTGCCAATGTCAGGTCATTTCAAAAACCATCACTTTATGTTTTCCCCTTTTTCACATTTAAAGTAGTATTTGTAAAATAACTCTTTGTATTTATTGACATTCATTTTTTTAAGTAAATTTATTTGCGTCTTCCTGCACTTTGACTTGAAATGTTAATGCTTTCCATTGTACTCGTGTGTGTCATCCTTTTAGTATCTTTAGTTTGTCCTTGGTTGGATACCTGTGTCGGCGGAAGCGCCCTCTCGTGAGAGGAAATTTCTCTTTTCCTGTGACGTCACAACGGAGAATTGGCACCATCTCTCACCTTATCTTTTTTTCCCCCGCATTTTTTTCCTAATAGAAAAAAAAAGTTTTTAAAGCATTTTGGACATCCTTTTATTTATTTATTGGTACTATTCCTTACGTTTCCGAAATTTTGAAACCCTTAACCGCAAACAAGAATAAGTTTTGTTACCTTTTTTTGTGTGTTTTATTTTGTCCATTGTTTACATGGTTGTAATGAACGTTTTTAGCTGTCACAACCGAACTATTATTTAACTTATGTTATTTCATACGCGCTTATAGTGGACGGTTAAGAAATTGGTAGTTTCTTTATAGTGGGTTAAAATTTTTACCTCAACGTGATAAGTTTAAAAGTATATAATAATGACTTATAATTATAGATAAAGTAATACATATTGTAAAAAAATGTTTGAAATATGTCATTTCTCTGGAATGAATGAAATTAGTATTTCCAAAAATAGGCTCATGGTATTAGTGAATTAGTTGCACGGAAATTGCAATTTTCTTAAAAACTGACTAAAATTAAAAAAAAAAAGCCTAAAAATTCAAAAACTTGCGAAAATTGAAATGATAAACAACTGAAAAATTCGTTACTGGGAGAGAACCACTTCGTTATTTATGGAGAACATTTTGAATGTTACTTAATATTTTGATAAAAATTTCATTATAGGGAGAAATTCGCTTTAAGAAACTTCATTGTAGGTGGACTCTACATGCTTCATTAGTTATTAATTTACACAGCAAAATATGTACTATTACAATCACTATTTCTAACTGTAATATGTTAAAAAATACTAGGGTTCACTATACTATACTGTACTATAGATTAATTAATTTTTTCAGGGGAAAATAAAAGAGGGAAAAATAATTATATACTAAGATTGCGAAAATAAATTGGTTTCCCTATGCAATTTTCTTTATAATGTGTGTACTATTTGTACTGTAATAAATGTGACAAAATATAATATAGCGATTATATGGAACACTTCATTGAATCTTCCTTTTTTCTTTTCTTCTGAAGTATTTCATGATATTGTGTATGAAAATGAATATTCGAATTATGTATAATAACTATATTTATTCTCCTTTTTAATTCCACTATTTTTCCTATTCTTCTTCCTATTTTTTCTCATTAAAGTTGTGAGTTGTTTTAAAGCAATGCCTATTCATTAACGGTAAGAGATTTTATGCAAATTAAATAAAAAGCGTAAAAATTAAGTAGAATAAGTTAACGAAGAAAAAAGAACTTAAAATAAGTCTTTATATTTCGTGATTCGAGGAGCCCAATAAACGCATGTTAATAAAATACAAATAATAAAAAGAATGAGTTGTAAGTTGTTAAAAAAGTTCAGCAAAGTCAATTGATAATATTCATTGAAAAGATGCAAGTAATGTCTTAAGATTTCGCCCATATTTTGATTATTGTTAAAAACAAAGTTTGCCCAGTATATTGTTAAATACAGAATAAGTTTTAATAAACGTTAATTAATTGTATATTATTTAATTTATTAATTAGTGAATGTAACGTTGTAACTAATAAATTTTTATAACAATACTCATCTCCAACTCCCCATTCCTCGTTTTTTTTTTCTTTTTTTTTCTTCCATCTATACACTGCATTAATTTTCAATTGTTCATTAAAAAAAGATTTTTTTTACAAGAAACATGTTAGATTTTTTTTTTACCTATTCATTTTTTAAAAATTTATTTTGAAAATTACATCTTATATATTATTTATTCAATTTTAATCATGATCAATCATTTAATTCACAGTGAAGAAATCTCTGATCATTTAGAAGTAAAATTTCTTTGATGAAAGACAATAAATTTCCAGGCTTGAAAAAAAAGGCTATAAATATCAAAGAAAATTGTCAAGGTGTTAAGAAATGCAAGGCTAAAATACTTATTTTTTAAATTTTTTTTTCTTATTTATTATTTATTCAATTTTAATCATCTTAGTGAATAAATCTCTAATCATTTGGAAGTAAAATTTCTTTGATGAAAGATTTCGAGACTTGGAGAAAAAAAAAGGCTATAAATATCAAAGAGAAATTGTAAAGGTGTTAAGAAACGCAAGGTTAAAATATATACTTGTCAAAACAAGTCGGTTTATTTTCCTCTCAAGTGAACAAAATAATATAAACCGGAAAAAAACGAGAGAGAAAAAATTATCAACATAACACCGATAAAATTCTTTGATTCCCAGTGATTGCGCAATAATTGCTTTACTCCTTGCTAATTCATGTTTTAACCTGCAGATCGGATGATGAGAAGATGAAGAAAGAAGCCGGAGAAACGACGAATTGTCATTAGTGTCGATTCTTGCATCATTCAGGAAAAAGATGATGTTTACAATTTTACCCGCCAAATCTTCTGCCGGACAGGAACTCGTCGTATGGAACACTTTGGATTTCTTTTCTCTACGTAAGATACTTTTATCGTGTTTACCTTCTTTCTCTCCCCACCCCCTCATATTTATTCAGCCGCCATTCTTAATCTGAGGTGTTCAATTGCTCATAATTGCGGTTTATGTTTTCTTATTCTTTTTTCTTTTCTTTTAATGATTGATGTGTTTCCGTCATTATTACCTTCCCAGCAGTCTTGTTAATAGAATTATTTAAAACGTGCAGTGTTGTTTTATGGATGCGTCATTTCCCAGTTGAAACTTATTATTACAAAACAAAATATTTTTTTGGTGTAGTAATTTGTTTGCTGAATTGTTCAGGAAAAAATGAAAGGGAAGTTTTTAAGAGAAAGAGTTATTGATTTACTTTTATTTGTGCTTGAATTAAAGAAAAAGAAAAGAAAAAAAAGATCTTACCTATTGAAAGGGAGGAGGGGGTGTTTCCATTTCAAAATCGTTAATGCTCCAAAAGGTTTTTATTTGCAAAAAATTAAAAAAAAAAAAAAAAAAAGAAGGAAAATAGTGGGTTGCTTGGGGTGGCTACGAGTTATACCCTACTAATTTTTCCCCGTCTGGGAAATTTTTTTTAGTTTTTCGCTGGCAGGTTATTTAGGTAATTTGGGTTGTTTGTAGCTGAATTTTGAAGACAATTTTAGAAAAGATAACGATTTGAAAACCTTGAACGCATACAATATAAATATTTCCGCTGTTGTGATTTCTTGCGAAATTCATCTAGTATGTGGATATTATTATCAAATTAATAAATGAATCACTTCGTATTATATAATTTTTGAACTTCGACGGAAATTTTAAAAGAAACAATGAAAATTATTGTTATCTATTATGATAAAGTTTTTATTATTTCGATGCAGAACTTTCAGCTATATACGTTTCTTTTATTTCTTCTTTTTATTTTGTGATCTGTTTGTTATTATAAAATAATGAAAACTTCTCGTTGGTTATTTCTAAGATGTGTGTGTATGTCGTGTTTCATTATATACCTGTTAAAATGTTTTTTTTTATCTACTTAAATACTTTTTAAGGAAAAAAAAACTTTTTGTCTTCTAAATTACGGAATAATCGTTTTAAAATTCTAAAAAAAGAAAATGACGCAGACTTGAAAGTTCAGAAAATATATACTCAAGAAATATTGTTTGTATGTTGTAAATTAAAAAAAAATTGAAAGGACAGTCATATAATTATTACTACTTTGTTTTATTTTACTGAATTATTAATGGGAGAAAAAAAATTAACTACTATTTATTATACCAGTAGCGTGTGCTGATAGCGAAATTCAATTTGTGTTGTGTCTTAAGGGTTGCATCTAACAGATTTGTGAGGTACCATAGTTATGTTATTGATTTTTCCCCCTTTTTTTTAAATAAAAAAAGAAAGAAAAAATGTTATTTTAAACTGTAATAATTTGTTACTTTTAATATTAAGCGTGCATGAAATGCAAGTTTTCTATTCCTATGCGTACCAAAAGTAACAAAACTCCAAAAGTAACGAAATTCCCCCAAACTAACGAAATAAAAACTTTTGTATAGATCAATACGTCTTCGTACCTTAGTAAAATAAATTTTCATGTTCGAAATGTTTTCATTATTCTTTTTTTTTTTTAGTTTAAACCCTATTTCGTGAGTTTAATTAATATTTTAAAGGAAAGGAAATTATTTTTGTTTCGAACTTCTGAAACTTCAAATCGAATAATAATTTAAATTTTAAGATATTTTTGTTGAGTAGGTCAGTGACACCTGGCACCAGATGTCTGCCGTTATTTACTGCTCAAAAGCGTGCCATTCACAAAGGGGGACATTGTCCACTAGCTGATGGTCAACGAGGGGCCGTCTTCGACTTCTTTTCATAAAACTGTGCAGCTTTCAGATGCTTTTTCCCTTCCAAAATTCCGAGAGTGGTTTTATTTTTGTTATTTTTAAGTCTGGTTCATTGATCTTTCATTTTAAAAGAAACTCTTCCAAAATCAACTAGACTGTGTGAATTCCTCGTCTGTCACACCTTTTGGTCCCCAATTTAATGTTAAATGCTTCTGTATAACACACGGATTTTTAGTGAACTTAAATTTGTTATTATTATTTCTGAATTCAAAATTTTTTAACTTCTATTAATCTTTTCGGTTGAAAAATATATTCATGCATTATTATGCAATTTGTAATTTTATGCTTAATGAATTAAATTGCATAAAGTGTACTAATAATTGTAAATTTTTCAGTAAATTCTGATACCAAGGATAATTATTGAAATTTTTTTCATACATTTGAGCATGAGACTATTAAAAAAAATTTTTTTTCTTGATAGTTTAGCTGACATTTTATTCATTTTTCAATCTTATTTGCATGGAGATCATAATATAATTAATTTATCACTTCTGCTTTTTCATACTTTATTTTTTCATAGCTCCCTGTACTTTTAATTGATTTTTTAAAAAAAATATCAACATCTTATGATCATAATTCAACTTTAAAACATTTAAGGCTATAATATTTAAAATTGTAAAAAAAAAAAAAAAAAAAAAAAGTTCCTTACAATTTAAANGTAAAAAAAAAACATTAAAATTTTCATAGACATTTTTGATACGCATAATTTTATACTTAAATTCAATATTTTCTGAAATCTTGCAGATTTGCCAAACTATTACTTATGTTTAAATTCCTAGATTTTAATTTAATAAATTAAATTTTTCTGTCTAGAACGTATTTTTCAAAACTTTCGACACTTCGAAGGCAGTAAAGTGAGTAGTTTTAGGGGGGTAAAAAAAGCTTGAAATTTCCTGGCTTTATTGATTTCTCGAGTACCCCCTCGAAATCATATCGTCCTGTTTTTCTTTTCCGTAGGTACCTGGTATTGACTGATCCCTTTTCTTTAAGGCAGGTGGGTACATTCTGATTTCGACTCCTTTGTACCCATCTGGAAAGAACTAGAAGGGCATCAATTCGACATTTTCCGACCCAATGAACCCCTATCTGTTCTTCTTACCCTGGTGCAGCAGTTTCCGCTGTTTAAAGGAGCCTGTTTCTCAACAATTATGCAAAAATAATATTACTTCCACTATTAGAATTCTCTTTCTTTGTCAGTCGGCGCGAGGAAGAAAGAATTCCTTTTATAACTTTTGTTTTGATGATCGTATTTTTCACCTACATACTAAAGTCAAAATTTTGGATGGTTTTCCATTGATGGAGCAATAACTATCAATATTGATGATAACCATCAATAATTCCATCATCAATCATTATATTATTTGATGGTAACCAACATAAGTAACCATCACCGCAATGTAGGAATTCGAACTAATATACGATGGTTCAACATAAGAATAGCAACTTGTTTCGATGGTTTGATCAACAAAAATTTCCATCATAGTTCCTTAGAAATCAAATGTTGGAATGATCATGAACAACCATCATCCCAATATAGGAATTCGGTCTGATTTATGATGGGCCAACATAAAAAGAATCTCAAATGGTTTTGATGGTATATTCCTGCTGAACCAACAAGAATTCCCATTAAACCATCATGGAAATGTATAGTTGGAATCATCATGGACCATCACGGTTCATCATGAATTGTTGGTTCAAGTGAATCAAATTCTCTTGATGGTTAACCATCATAGTATTAAAGTAGCATTTTCCATCATGGAACGACGGAAGTTTATTGGCATATCAAGCACCAAGAGCACAGAATGGAAAATGTTGGATGATGACCATCAAATGATTTTGGACCATCATGAATCGCACTGAAACCAACATTAACCATCAAAATTTTTTGATGGGTCCATCAAGAATTTTGATTTGGGTAAGGACTCAAATTTATTGTTTAAGAACCGAACAGTTAAGTGATTAAGTGCAGCTATATTGTCGGAGTTAACATCTTGAAAGCGTGCTTGATAAATTTATAAGTCTTGGGGGGAGGGGCTCCTTTAAAAAAAATTGAAGGAAAAAAAAGACAGAGAAAATATTTTAAGGCTAAATGGCATTTGAACACTGTATTTACCAATTATAGTACAAAATTATACATTATTTTCTGTAACGTATTTAGATAATTATGTTTTGTTACTACAAAAACAATTCTATAATTTGTTATTGCAAATTTAATTTTCTAAGAACGTTTACCTATTGAATAGGATTAAAAAGGAAGCTTTTTAAAAATGAAGCATAAAATATTTAGCTTGTTTAAAAACGTTTAAAATTTTCAATAAATTACCTAAATCAAGAAACAGAAAATAGAAATAAATTATAATTATTGAACAGAAAATAGTTAATTAAAACCGAAAATAGTCATTTTTTGAAGGTCCCTTATTCAAGTGTCCCTCTCGATCCCACACTTCCAGTCCGACCCTGGAACCGGAACCTTAACTGTTGCAGACTATATTTTAAGTTAGAAATTAGCCTCAAAAACGTATTTGTTTTAAATAAACAAATCTTTTTTTCTCGACGGATTTTGTATTTTTGATTTTCAAATTTAGACCATTAATTGATGAAGGGGGAAAAAAAATATTTTTTCTACCCGTTTTTCGCATTTAAGTCTTTACCTGAGCATTTTTATTAAGTATACGAGGCAGATCACGAAAAGTGACCCTTTACTCATTCGTTCAAATGGCTTAATATCCTGGTGCACATAACTTACTAATTAAAAATTTATGGTTGTAAAATGCTATTAGTTCATTTTTTCTTATTATTATTTTCATGAGTTATTAGGACGTATTGAATCAACAAATATAGACTAATGTTGCTCAATAGTTACAGTTTAGCTTTGTGTACTCTTTATTGCTGGTCTCCGTCAGGTAATGAATTAGAAAGATTTCGCAATACGCAAGCATGTATGTTGTGAAATAACTAAGTAAGCGCAATTTTAGGAGACTGTGGCATGGAAATGCGCTGTTAATTCAGAGTCCCGCACCATCCACGCTGTTAATATGATCCCGCACATTCACGTTCGTATGAGCGTGAATGTGCGGGATGGTACGCAATGAAGATGCTAAATATCTCTTATATAGGTATCTAAG